GTCCCAAGAAACCTCTGACTTCCTTCTCAGCACGGGGAGCTGGCATTTACTGAATGAATTTAACCTTGGCAGGATCAACTTCAATACCTTTACCACTGACGATGAAACCTAGGAATTTACCGGATCTTACCCCAGAGGTGCACTTGTTTGGATTTAGCCTCAACTTGTACTTTTTCAACCTCTCAAACAACTTGTGCAGATGGTCGAGATGTTCTTCTTCAGTCTGAGACCTGACTATCATGTCATCAATATAAACCTCTATCTCATGATGGATCATATCATGGAACAAAGCTACCATAACACGCTGATATGTTGCACTAGCGTTCTTCAAACCAAAAGGCATAACTTTGTAACAGAACGTGCCCTACTGTGTGATAAAACTAGTCTTCTCCATGTCTTCAGGTGCCATCTTGATTTCATTATAACCAGATAAACCATCCATGAAGGAAAATACTTTATGCTGAGCAGTGTTGTCAAACAGAACATCAATATGCGAAAGCGGAAAGTCATCTTTGGGGCTTGCCTTGTTCAAATCCCCGTAGCATATACACAAACGCACCTTGCCATCCTTCTTAGGTACTGGCACCATAATTACAACCCACTGAGGATATGACGTAACAATTAAGAAACCTACATTGAACTGCTTCACAACCTCAGCTTTGATATTTTCAGACACCTCAGGATGCATACGAAGAACCTTCTGTTTTATAGAAGGATAACCTTCCTTCATCGATAGACGGTGAACCACAATGTCAGTATCAATCCCCGGCATGTCTACGTACGACCAAGCAAAGATCTCAACATAGTCACGCAACATTTGGATTAATCTCTTTTTGACATTGTCTTCTAGGTTGGCACCTATCTTAACTTCTTTCTTGTCCTCTTTAGTACCCAAGTTCACAACCTCGACTGGCTCTTCATGCGATTGTATGTCTCTTTCTTCTTGCATTAACAGGCTAGCAAGCTCTCCAGGTACTTCACAATCTTCCTCACCTTCGTCCTCGGCTTGGTAGATCATATTTTCAAAGTCATAATTGGCAATAGCATAATTGTTATCAATGGGATCCAGGGTGGACATGGATCTGTAATTTGTTATGTGGGTGTGTGTAAGAACACAAATATTTTGAAAGCAATAAAGTAAAATAAAGACAAAGAGCACAAAATTTGAATGCAAATGTCCAATGATTTATTAAATGAAAATATGTAAATGAAAAATGACAACGCTAACAAATGGACCGTTGTGCCCCGGGTAAGGCACATAATTTAAAGTTATTGTTTAAATTACATAACCAAAATCTTGAAAGCAAGAAAACAGAAAATAAAATTTACTCCTTACTAAAGGAGATTGGTATAAAGTCTTCATCCTTCTAATTGTTGAGCCCATTGCCGGTAATAGGGAAAATCCAACTGTCTATGTCACAGTCGCTATCAGCGTCTTCCATAGTGTTGACTTGATTTTTGTGAACTCCATTATTATTAATGCGGAATGGTGGTCTCCCAGAATTAGCTCGAGCACGAAGGACATCCCTCTCAGCCTTTGAGGTGAAACCCAAACAAAATTTATCGGACTTGCAAGGGATGTTGGGAAGCTGACCCCAAACAGTGCCACCACCTTCTTCTACCACAACCTTAGCGTCTTTCAGATAAGCCGTTCTTGGTGGAATCTTGGTAACCTTAGAAACAGTAGGAGTAGCTTTGTCAACAGGGGTTGTCTGAGGAATAACTTCAGAGGTCTGGTAAGGAGTCTTGAAGAATTCACCATCCATCTCAACATACTTGAAGGAATTCAAATGGCTCACCATGTATTCTTCTTCGCTGCAAACTGTAACAATTTTTCCTTTTATGAGATACTTCAACTTTTGGTGTAAAGTAGAAGTAACAACACCTGCCCCATAAATCCAAGGGCGTCCAAGCAAACAAGAATAGGTTGGACGAATGTCAGTCACATAAAAAGTAGAGTCGAAGACTTGGGAACCCACTTTGATTGGAGGATCAACCTCTCAATGCACCATTCTCTTTGAACCATCAAAAGCTCTTACCACAATGTCATTGGGTTTTAACACAATCCCTTCACAATCAAGTTTTTCTAAAGTAGCTTTTGGCAATACATTCAATGAGGAACCTGTGTCCACTAATACATGGGATAAGAGAGTGCCCTTACACTCAATAGAGACATGCAAGGCCATATTATGGTTCCTTCCTACGGGAGTTAAGTCAGCGTCAGAAAAGCCTAGCCCGTTATCGATTGTCAGGCTAGCAACACAATTTCCAGACTAATCAACGGAGATTTTCTGTGGTACATGAGAAAATTTCAGAAACTTTACCAGAGCCTGAGCATGGGCTTCTTAGCACAACAAAAGAGATAACATAGATACTTTGGAAGGAGTATGCCCCAACTGTTCAATAATCTTATAGTTACTCTTTTAAATAATTTTCAGTACTTCTTCCATCTCTTGCTTGGAGGTATCTTGAACAGTAACCTCTTTCGGTGTCTCAGTCTGGGCAGACTCAGTCATATGTTCTTTGTCTCTAGTTTCAATAGTTGATTCAATGGTAGTGATACGAACTGGTGTAAGAACGGCTTTTGAAGAGATCTCTGGAGAGAAAATCCTTCCACTTCTGGTAATTTTACTAGTCTCAGCAATATTTCCAACATTGAGATCAGTAATTTCAGTATTTTATCTTCGACAGTCAACGGTTCTTGCTTGATGTCATGATAGTAGAAATTAACTCCATAATTCTAAGGGATAACCTTGTTAGAGGAATATGAAATAGACCCAGACGCGGTAATGATCAGAGGAACAACTCTAGGTTCGACAGTAATCTTCACAGGACCTTTAGAAGTGATCTTTACAGGAGTACCAGAAATTGCAGACACGTCTTCAAGCTTCAAGTCTTGAGATATACTCTCCACAGAAGGAGTATTCTCAAATAGAATTACACGGTCATCCATCAAACGTTGAACACTTTCTTTCAGCAGTGCATAGCCATTGGATTGGTACGCCTTTCAATGTAACCCGAAAATAAACCGGCTTGCAGCAGCTTCTTCTTAATAATTATCAGAGGAGTAAACAAGTCATTCACAGCAGAAACATAGGAAACATCATCAATAGCATTAATGCCCTTGTCGTTAGTTGGCATAGGTGCAGTGATCACATTAGGAGTCTCAGGAAGATCAAATTCAATCTCCTTAGCGTCAATCATGTCTTGGATCTTATTCTTTAGAGCCCAACAGTTTTTAGTGTCATGTCCAGGACTGTTGGAGTGATATACACACCTTTCATTGGGATTGTAACGAAAAGATCAAGTATAAGAATTCCGAGGAGGGTCCTTCAATGTGATCAGTTCCGCCTTCAACATGTGTTGCAATGCTTGAGACAACGACATGTTAATTTTGATGAACTGTCTCCTGGGTGCATCCTGCCTATGCTGATTACTCTGTTGTTGTTGTGGTACTGGCGCGAGATTAGAGATCATAACTGTCCCCACAGATTGTTTGTAGTTACTCTTACTACGACCCTTCTGGCCGTACACAACATTGAATTCTTTCTTACCATTATAAGATTTCTTCACATTATTCGAAGATGTAGCCATCTGAATTTTACCACTTCTGATTCCATTCTCAACACGTTCTCCTGTTAATATCAGTTTAGTGAAACTGATAGAAGAACTTCTAAGTAGGTGATTATAGAAAGGACCTGTTAGCATGCTCATGAACATGTCAACCAATTCTCTATCAGCTAAAGGAGGTTGAACTCTGCCTGTAAGATCTCTCCATTTCTGTGCGTACGATTTAAAGCTTCTTATGTACGATGCCCAATAATAATATCACGTTTCATGTCATATGTGCATCAAGCATTTAATAGGAAATGACCAATAATAAGAGTAGAAATCTAAATGAGTTAGATTAAGACATGATAAAAATATATCCAGCATTGTGGGCACCAAATGAACCTTCAAACTTTCACCACTGTCGACATATCAGTGTCTAAATCTATCTATATAGTGATTCATAGTTTATGGAGAAATTATCCATCTACAGGCAAGTTAAAAATGAAGGAAAGGGTAGTTTATATTTCCACCATGCTTTTCTTTTCTTCTTTCATTTATACCCAAGAATAGGATCTAGTTTATGGTGTTCACGGGTTTGTGACCTTTACTCAAGTCTAATTATACAGTTTAGTTGCTCTCACTCATTCATAAAAGAACTCTTTACAAATTTTATTTATTGGCTGCTATGTACTATCTAAAACAAATCTTTACTGTCGAAGAATCATCACCAAATTTGTCATGGGACAAAGAGAGCATGTATTTGATTCAAATACATAATGATGTCCAGTTAATATTATACTTCAGCAGACCAAACAAGTTACACTAGTTACAGAACCAGGAAAAAATCGAAAACAAAGTCTCGAGCCACAAAGGACCGGTTTGCAAATGACCACATTTCATGAGTCATAGCTGAAACAGCATCAGTAATGACCACATTTTATGAGTCATAGCTGAAAATGCAGCAAAAGACTACTACAAATCCCTTCTAACTTTTCATTGAAAAAACAGAAAAGATAGTGAAGGAGAACACAAAACCTTCACTGAGGGTAGCTAAGAATATCACTGAGAAGGTGAAAGACCGGTATGCGAAGGTAGTAACTAGCAAACTACATATCATCTAATCGTAGATGATATCTAGAGTGAGAGGCCTAAATCCTATGTCTAGAGTAAAGGAAAGTTAACCATATATAAGAAGAAGCTTCTGCTAAGTCGTAACTACATACATATCACAAATTCAAGATTCAATTTGTATGTAACAACATTCTTCGGAACCAATAAACACAGCCAACGAAAGTCTATTAGATTTCACTCTTACCTGTTACCATCATTCTGCTTCCAAATCATTTTCATGGATGCTTCCATCAAAGTTTCAAGAACCATACCAAAGCCTGCTTCGACAGATTCCTCTGGCACACACTTATTTACAATATTACAATGCTCCTTGTATTTCACTCATCATCACCAATGTTAAGATTCAGAATCCGACGTAAGGTCTTAGTAGCAGAATCAGCATTAACAAAAACATCCCTAATAAAATCCAAACGCTCCCTAGTCGGAGAAGACGGCACAGACTTAGCCATCATACGCAACTCGATCTCGCGAGACGAACCAGGAAGATCAAGAGACACAGTCCTTTTAGGCCTTACAGAAAATCTAGGAATCGGCAATGAACTAGGCGGTGGCGAATTTGAGTATGTAGGTCCAGCCCATAACTCAGATAACAAAATGGTTCCATCACTTAAATCTTCATCAAAAAATCTTTCCTTTCTAAAACCTTTTCCATTAATTGGAATTGGACTACTCTTAGGACTTTCATCAAAAGATTTCAAAGGTGTAGTAGGTAATAAAGCAAAACCAGACTCAAAAGTCCTGCAATTAATCCCTATAAAGTCTTTGGAAGATGAATACTCAAATCTACCATGGTCTTGTGGCTTAGAACTGCTACAGTATTGAGTCTTATGCTGTTCAACAACAAGTGTCTTCATAATCACAAGTAAGTCAAAAAGCTAGATTTCAAATCTCAGTGCCAAAGTAAGAAAGTACAAAACTTCACCTGGACAAAATAGATCTCAAACCCATAGTTTCCACCACATAAACTTTCCCTGACACTGGAAAAATTAACAACAACAAAAAAAACAGTGAAAAAAACATAAATTACAAAAAAAAAAAAAAACACAAGACTTATGAAACAAAATTAAACAAACTCCTAGGAATACATATTAACATTTTCTTATGAAAAAAAAAAAAGCAAAAGATAATAACCGGTTTGTTGCAACTTGCAAGAGAAAGATTTTCCAGAAAGAACACAGAAAGTGTATGATAAATCTGTTGTTTAACCTTGTAGCTATTATTTTGGATTAGTTATTGATAATATTTGTTAGATTTGTTATTAAAATTTGAAGAAATGAAAGTTGCATGGAGAATGAAATGAATGTGAAGAGTCTAGTAATAATAATAATAATAGAGCAAAAAAAAAAATTATTATTGAAGTTTAATAATGTAATGTAATGAAAAAGTTGAGGTTTACCTGATGGTGTCGGTTATGTTCCCCATTACATATATTATTGTGACAGGATGTTTATATGTAAGGGGCACTGAACAAGTATTATGGCCAAGTATTATTTCTGCTAAAAGTCCCTTTTACATAAACTTGATTGTCACTCGAGCTGAAACACTCGGTTAGAACTAACTAAAGTTTATTAAAGCTGGTTCACTCTCACCTTAAAAGAGGAAAATAATTGTGCTTTAATGTGACCACCGAAAGGTATGCCAAACTGCCTAATATCCTATGATTTTTATTTAAGGAAATTTTATCCTCGTATTTTAACAATTAGTATCTCAATACCTCACAATCTACGCAATTTATGCATTGATAAATAGTTTATATTTGAAAGTTTTCGTTATTAAAAAAGACAATTTGGGAAATTTTAAGGGGGCGATACTTTTTTATCCTTTATTTTTAATCCAAGTCTATTTTGATACTTCATCTTTAAAAAACAGATAAATTTGATCTCTTATCTTTTCAGAGTTTGTCAAATGTTTAGTTTCTCTAATAAATATTAGACAATTTAAAAGTATCTTAAGTCTCGTCATGTTAGAAGAATTAGGATTTTTATGTGATGTTAAATTCAAAGATAATGATGTTAAGATTTGAAGCTTTAGAACTGTGAAAGAGAAGAAGTGTGAAAGTTCGTTTGATCGCAGTATTTTAGAAATTGGACCGAATCGGTCGATCAAATTGGAAATCGGAGGGTCTTCGATCTAGTCTGATTTAATAACTATATAGTTTTGTTATAGATACCAATTTATTCAATCGAGTTATCTGGTTTACTTCGGTTTAGTCATGTGGTTCGATCAGTGACTCAGTACTCTCATCGGTTTGATGACTGACCCAATTTTTAAAACATTGTTTGGTCGTGTCTATTAGAGTGACTAGTGTCTTGTAAAGGCGGAAGGGTGTTTCTAAAAATACTATCGAAACATCACACACACTAAAAATTAGGGAATTGTGTAAAGTCTTTCTCTATTTGTGAAAACCATATAGTTTTTTTAGGCCTGATTAGGGGATTTTTTTGTCAATTGGATGAATTTTTCCAACATAATAATCGATTATCCCTAATCATTTAATCAACTATTTTCTCTTGATTGAGACTAAAATTGATTATGACAATCTCTTAATAGTTTATAACGACTATATATAAAAACCTTATATATGTGGCCTGAATAATCAATTATTAAGGTCCAATAATCGATTATGAAATTAATTTCACCCATGAGATTGTTTCCAATTTTAAACCACAATTTTTCTTATAAATAGAGAGTTTCTCTATTATTTTATTTCATCCAGAAAATGAGCCTTGATCTCACATTTTTATTCTCTCTCATTTTCTATAAATCTCTCGATTTCTCACTTATATTTTGCCTTAGTACTTCAAGAGTACTTTTGTGTTTAAGTGAGGATAATTATTATGGGTGAGGGTTTAATTGTAATTAACCAATAGTGTATTATCTCTTGAGTAAAATATCCTTCTATAATAAGTGGTTTGATTACGAGTTGGACTAGTAAAAGCTCTTGTTTGGTTTTAGGGATTGTCATAAGAAGTCTTTGTTAGGTTCATTAGTTTCGCCAATAAGAAAATCTCTATTTTGATTTGTGAATATTAGCCATTAAAGTATCCACAAAGGTTTTTGAGTTGAGCCTGGTTAAAAGCTCTATCGATTCGAGATTACCTTGTGTAAAATCTCGTTTTTTTCTCGAGTCCTATTTTGCGTAAAAGCTCGATTGGTTTGAGATTATCATGTGTAAAATCTCATCTCAGTTTCGAGGTCATCGCATGGCAAACCTTGGTTCAATTCAGAGGATATCCAACTTAAAATCTCATCTCGATTTGGAGGATAGCCAACTTGAACCTCCATCTCGGCTTAGAGGATATTGATATATATCAGAATTCTTGAATATGTGTTTGCACTGCAAAAAAACTCTAATTTAGAGGATATGTATGCAAATTGGGATATGACAGCTTCCCGTATTTAATTACCCTCCAGCTGAGAGTATGAAGTGAAATAGTCTTCAAACAATAATGGTGGATGGTAATTAAATATAACAGACTCAAATTTTTTCCTTCGAGCTACTAGAAGGGGAAGGCAGCAAGAAACGTGATTGCCATATGGTAAGGAGACGATCAACACATGTGTGGGAATAATAATTGGTCAACATCAACGTAGGGGTTGGAATAATCAACTTATCCTCTTTAACATGGGGGATGGAATTGACACAGGTGGTTGGAATAACAACTGATAATCTTCAACACAGGGGCTAGAATAATCAACGAATCATCTTCAATATCGGGGTTAGAGATAACACATGATCAACATCAACACGGGGGTAACAACTCGTCATCTTTAACACGAGGGATGGAATAATCAACCGATCATCTTCAACACGGGGGTTGGAAATAACACATGATCAACGTCAACACGGATGTTAGAGTAACAGCTGATCATCTTTAACACGCGGGATGCAAATAACATATGATCAACATCAACACGAGGGTTGGAGTAACAACTGGTCATCTTTAACACAAGGGTTGGAAATAACATATTATTAACATTAACAAGGGGTTGGAGTAAAAACTAATCATCTTCAACACGAGGGTTAGAACAACAAATTAACAACCTCACCACGAGGGCTGGAACAATAAATTAATAACCTCAGCATAGGGAAGGAAAAACAACTAAATATCCTCAGCAAGGGGGTTGGCACAATAAATGAATAACCTCAGCATGAGGTAGAAACAAAACAACTAAATAATCTCAGACAGGGGTTGTAACAACAAATGGGAGCAAGTTTCAGAGGGACTCATTGGCGGAAGCTCTACAAGAGAAAATTTTCAAAAGTAGAATTTTGTGAAGACATCTGCTTGGGGGAATAAATTTGTTTAGCTCATTGGGGACGGCCAATGAGGTAAAATACAGAGCAATACTCACTCAGAGAAGATACCACTGACTATGTTGGGGATTGATCTAGGCTTATACGAAAGATCTCAAATCAAAACTTATGATAAGTATGCATGTTTGGTTGTAATGTTCCACATTTGTGGATATGCTATGTGTGCAATGATGTATGAAATATTATGATCAATGTATTTGTGAACACCAATGGATGATGGTATTTAAAACAAGCGCCAAATGGGGTTGGACTCTGAGAGAATGCCAAACAGTGTTGGACTTAAATGTTAATTTATGGTAATTTTTTGACTTCCCGACATTCTTGTATCTGGATAGTGCTAAGATCTAATAAGGACATGGATACTCTTAGTGCCTCGAGTTTGATCTAATATTGGCAAGCTGCGTGTTCACTCTTACGGAGGAGTCGCGACTTCCATACTGACGAGGACAAGGTGACATGTGGATGATCTTATGTCTTGTACACCAGGTGTATTATTGAAACTGTGGATTTTCCTTTAGATATTTCAAAATCCAAATAATTCTTGTTTTTCAGCGCTTTTATTATTACCAAAGTTTTAATGCAATTTTTATTAAAAAAACAAATGACATTTTGCAAACGAGCAGAAAAATAAAATAAAAGGGAAAGATTTTGTAGAAGAAAATTTATTTATTAAGGAAGTGACTCGTAAATGGGTGGTAATACATAAGGATGCAATTCCTAGAAAAGGAAATTGCTGAGACAAATAAGTAAAATAGAAATGGAACTGTTTAAGTTTCCATCGAATTACAACACAATTATTTTCTTTATGTCTTCAAGAATCACAATACTTTGCTTCTGAGAGAGTGGATGGATTGATTCCTCTTGTCTTGAGTTTCTGTTGTGGAAAATGTACATGGACCGCAGTCTCTTGCCTTTTGGAAAACCCCTAACTTTTGCCTGGATCGCCCTTTCGATTTTTCAGCCCATCATGCTACCTTTTTTTCTTCCTGTGTCCCCTTTTCAGATTTTCAACTTAGCAGGTTCTATTCTTTTATTTTATCTCTAATTTTTCCTGGAAAAATCTCTTTTTTATGTCCATCGGGATGCTCATTTTGGCCTGAGTCGCCCTTTCATGTTTTTGACTCAATGGGTCATTGTTCCTCTCTTTTATGCAAAGTACTTTTTGACTGCATCCAAATTTACTGAATGTGGGAATTTCTCACCATCCATAGTTGTAAGAACTAGAGCTCATCCAAAAAAGGCTTTCTTCATAACAATTGGACCTTCATAGTTTAGCATCCATTTTCCAGGTGAATCCTTGTGAGGTGGAATTATCTTCCTCAACACCAATTCACTTTCTCGAAAATATTGAGGGTGGACCTTCTTGTTGAATGCCTTATTTATCCGCTTTTGGTATAGCTAACCATGACACGATGCTATGGTGCACTTTTCTTCTATAAGGTTGAGTTGACTGAACCTTAATTGGACCCATTCGACTTCCCCACGCTTGGTCTCCATGACGACTCTTTGTGAGGGGATATCTACTTCAACTGGAAG